AGTTTTGTCCCACTGGGTTTGGACCATGTATATACCCAGCTGTAAATTCTACAAGTCTGGTAAAGACCAGGATGAAGCACCAAGAGGAGAGTAAGGAAGGGACACCCGATGGGATATCACTTTCAACTGGGCCGTTCTGGGACATTATGAGGAAACACTCCTTCAAACCAGTGGAGTGGAAATCTGGAATCCTCTTCCCTAAACACTACTGAAGCTGGGGCTGGGAAAAGTGGGTGGAGAAGGGTCTGAACATCAACTGGAAGACCAAAGATTAAAACTGAGATTGGATAGGTGCATTGCTGCCTTTTTGGATTTGGGAATTCAGCTATGGATCAGTCACGATCAAACTGAATGGTGAAACAGGCTCAAACGGCCACTTTCTCTTCAATATTTCCTGCAAGGTGTTCACAACACACTGACCAAAAGGAAGGTACAAACATCATATGTGCATAATTTTCAAAAATTATGATTCAGTATTGGGACTCTCACTTTTGATAGAAACACCGACAGTAAGGCCATAAAACCATAATATATAGGAGCACAATTGGGCCATTCAGCCCATCAGGTCTACTCGGCCATTCGATCATGGATGATATATTTCTCAAACCCATTCTCCTGCCTTCTCCCTGTAACCCTTGATCCCCTCTCCAATCAAGAGCCTACTTATCTCTGTCTTAAACATGCTCAATGACTTGGCCTCCACAGCCCTCTGTGGTAATGAGCTCCACAGATTAACCAACCTCTGGCTGAAGAAATTCCTCCACATCACAGTTCTAAAGTCTCTTTGCGGAGTCTGTGCCCTCAGGTCCTGGTCTCTCCTATTAGTGGAATCATTATCTCCACATCCACTCTATCCAGGCCTCTCAGTATCCTGTAAGTTTCAGTCAGATCCCCCCTCATCTTCTAAAACATTCACAGAACTAATTCAGGAACTGAAAAAGGGTCACAGATCAAACATTAACATTATCTTTTTTCCACATCTTCCGATTGCTTTCTGCAGATCCTTTGTCTCTATAATCAAAGACCTACTGTCTATGTTTAGGACAAGTGTCAATTATGAAATTCTTAATCCCACTGAGCCTCTTTTATATTCATTCATGGGATGTGGGCCCAGCTCTAATTGTCCCTTGAACCGAATGTATTGCTATGGCTAATTCAGAAGGCATTTGACAGTTAACCATACTGCTGTGGGTCTGGAGTTACAGAGACTGAGTATGGATGGCAGAATTCCTTCTCTTAGTGAACCAAATGAGCTTTACAACAACTAACAGTTGTTACAATGGTCTAGTTTTTTTATTCCAGATTTTTTGTATTGCGTTCTAATTTCACCACCTACCATGGGGTGATGTTTCAAACACACGCGCACACAGCATTAGCGTGGATCATCAGCACAATGACATTATCACCTCTACTCACACCTCCTGTCTCCTCTACAACAGTAATCTCCCCAGGACAACAACCTTCAGAGATCTCTGTACGGCTCCAATTCTGGCCTGTTGCATATCCCACCTGCTTGGGCACTAATCTCTGAAATTCCCTCTCTACACCTCTCTCTCTCTCATTTTCCTCCTTTGTGACATCCTTTAAAATTTCTCTTTGACTCAGCTTTTAATCTCCTATCTCAACGTCTCCTTACTGTAGCTCGGTGCCAAATCCTGTTTGGTGATTGTCCGATAAAACTGCTTTGTTAAATGAAAGGTGCAATATTAGTGTTAGTTGTTATTGATAGATCGTAAGAAACAGGAACGGGAGTAGGCCATTCGGCCCCTCAAGCCTGCTCCACAACTCAATAGGATCACAGCTTATCCGACATTCCTTGCATCCACTGTCTTGCCCTTTCCTCGTAACCCTCGATTCCCTGACTGATCAAGAATCTATCTATCTCGGCCTTAAATATATGCAAGGTCTCTGCCCCCAAAGCTCTCTGAGGCTGGGAGTTCCAAAGGCTCTCAACTCTCTGAGAGAAGAAATTCCTCCTCATCTCGGTCGTCAACTGGTATCCCTTTATTTTGAGGCTTATGCCCCTTGGTCCTAGACCCTCCCAGGAGGAGAAACATCCTCTCAGCATTTGCCCTGCCAAGCCCCTTAAGAATCTGTATGTTACAATGAAAGGTTAGGGAACAGTCTAACCTCATCCTCTCATTCTTCTAAACTCCAGTGAGTAGAGTCCCAACCTGTTTATCCTTTACTGAAAAGACAATCCCTCCATACAATCCCTCCCAAATTTAAATTGCAATAATCCAATTATTATCACCAAAAGAATATTGCATTGTTGATTTCATTGCTGTGTGCACAAACTGACGTTTGTGAGATTACCACTGAGACTTGGCTTCAGCAGCACTATGCTAGCTGTGAAGGGTTATGGGGTGTCTTGAGGTGCTATATAAATGCAACTATTTCATTAATCATCAAATGGAGTATCTGCTAAAGCAAGGCCAGACATTCTTAGCATGCATTACTCTCAGAACACAAAAGGGGAGCTAAAGGAATTAATTAAACCAAAAACTGAATTCATGCATAGCCTTTTAACTCATTCACTGCTGAAATTCCAACAGGCGTTACACACACCCTGCAGTCCCTCTACTGGGCAGATTTTATCCAGTGCAACCCAGAGAGTTTATAGGAACAGTTTTGTGAGAATTATTAAAACCAAAAGTTCACACGCTCAAGGAAAGGAAAGCTTTGGTGGTGGAATTTATTTCTCTTCAAAAGGCAGATAGCATGCAAAGAAAAGGCCTCGCTTCTGACAATCTTAAACCATGAAAGAGAGGAAATACAAGCAGGAAACAGTGACCAGAGTTTACACAGAGGTGAGGCTCCTCGCGAGCCAGTACAGAGAAGGGATTGAACTCCGAGTAACATAGGAAACGTGGTCACTGGGGAGGGGGAGAGGGAGAGGCCCTGAAGGGATATATTATAGTATTTCACAGACTGTTCCCTAATAAGTTTTCTAGAAAATCCTAGTGACCAATCAATGTCGTTAAATGCTACAGAACAAATCAGATGACTAGTGCTAGTAACAAAATCATTATGATGCAGAGGGAGGCCATTCGATCCATCATACCTGCTCTATAATCTTGTCCAGTTTTATTTTTTATTCACTCATGGAATGTAGGTATCGCTGGCTGGGAGAGCATTTACTTTCTGTCCCTAGTTACCCTTGAGAAGGTGATGGTGAGCTGCTTTCTTGAACTGCTACAGTCCGTGTGCCGTAGGTAGATCCACAATGCCATTAGGGAGGGAATTCCAGGATTTTTTTCCCCAGTGACACTGAGGGAATGGCAACATATTTCCAAGTCAGGATGATGAGTGGCTTGGAGGGGAACTTGCAGGGGGTGGTTTTCCCTTGTATTTGCTGCCCTTGTCCTTCTAGATGGAAGTGGTCATGGGTTTGGAAAGTGCTGTCTAAGAATCTTTGGTGAATTTCTGCAGTGCATCTTGTAGATAGTACACACTGCTGCTACTGAGCGTCGGTGGTGGAGGAAGTGAATGCTTGTGGGTGTGGTACCAATCAAGCGGCTGCTTTGTCCTGAATGGTGTCAAGCTTCTTGAGTGTTTTTGGAGCTGCCCCCATCCAGGGCAAGTGGGGAGTATTCCATCACACTCCTGACTTGTGCCTTGTAGATGGTGGACAGGCTTTGGGGAGTGAGGAGGTGAGTTACTTGCTGCAGTATTCTGAGCCTCTGACCTGCTCTTGTAGCCGCTATGTTTATGTGGTGAGTCCAGTTGAATGTCTGGTCAATGGTAAGCCCAGGATGTTGATACTAACACCATTGAATGTCAAGAGGTGGTGGTTAGGTTGTCTCTTATTGGAAATGGCCATTGCCTGACATTTGTATGGCATGAATGTTACTTGCCACTTGTCGGCCCAAGCCTGGATATTGTTCAGACTTTGCTGAATTGACTGCTTCAGTATTTGAGGAGTTGTGAATAGTGCTGAACATTGTGCAATCATCAGTGAACATCCCCACTGCTGACCTTACGATGGAGGGAAGGCTCTATGATCTAGTGCCAATCTCCTGCCTTTTCTCCATATTCCTACACACCATTTCTATCTGAAATCCATCCAATGCTCTGTCACTACGTTAAATTGTCTATTCAGGGGATTGTCGGTGCTGATGGTGATGGAGGTGGCCCGTCTCACCTCGCTCTGTGTAGGACCAGTGGCAAGTTCGAGTTTTAATTGCCCTGAAAACAACCAGATTCCTTTAAGCCAGTTCTCCTTGGAACCATGAGAGTTGATTGATGCCTGAATAATCTGCCATTGCAACTGGTCTAATAGTGAAAAGTCACAATACTGGGACTACCTCTCTAAGGGCATTGCGGGTCCACAACGGACTACAGAGGTTCAAGAAGGCAGCTCACCCCCACCATCTCCAAGGGCAACTAGGGATGGGTAATGAATGCTGACCCTGCCAGCAACACCCACACCTTATGAGCAAATTTTTAAAAAAGTATTTGAGTAACATAATAAAAAAGTAACATAGGCAAAGGAAGGAAAGGATGATGGGAGGAAGGAAATAAAGAAATAAAATGGCTTGCATTATTACGGCAACTTTCCCAACCTCTGGATACTCGGAAGCTCTTCAGAACCAGTTGTGAAACAGTGCAGTCACTACTGTAATGTGGTTAGCATGACAAGCCGTTTTTTGCATAGCAAGATCCCACATACACACACACCAATGTGATGATGAGCAGATGATCTGCATTGGCAATGCCAGTTCACAAGAGATGCTTCTTCAAAACACGGCCCTGGGATATTTTATACACACCTGCAGTGGCAGATACGGCCTTGGCTTAACATCTCATCTGAAAGATGGGTCATGTACATACGCTGCACCGTATTATCTTCAGTTTTCAAAGGATACATCATCCATGAATATGACAGCTATGAATATTTACTGTCACAGTGGGCTCACGACACATGACGATACTCCCAATGGTGCTTTAATGCAGTGAGACTTCAGCCCCGCTTTATAAGTGACAATTGAAAGACTCACCCTGCTCAGCAACCTCCTTGAGAACTCCTCTCCTTATCAGCTCTTCCCGACTCTGTCTCGTTGATATCTTCCTTTCCAACACTATCAACGAACAGGGAGAAAGAGAGAAAGAGAATGGGTTAAATGTAGCAAATTATTGATCAATAAGGGATGGTCTACATTCAGAGATCTCCCTGAAATTCCAGGAGCAGAAAATACAAGGTGAATGTATGAAATAGCTCCACAGAGGCTGGTGTCATGTCACCAAGTCGCCCTTTATTTAGACATGGAAAGCCCTCGACTCTGATCCAGCTTCTTCACAGCCAGCTCTCAGAGTGTTAGAACCCTTGACACTCCTGTTTATATCCATCAGCCAGGGCTCCCTGATTGGACCAGGTTAACAGCCCCAATCAGGGAACTCATGTACTGTAATGTCCAGCCAGCTGACCTCTCTATAATCATTACACACTGTGGCAAAGATCTACATTTCCGAAGGAAAATTGTAATTCCAATTTCACAGAGTGCATCTAGCTGCGATGGTGGTGAAATATATATTCACGATGAAGACACTAACAGAGAGGAATTAATTTCTGAAGGAGCTAATAGCAGAGTGGCTTAACACCTGGATCTGAATTACCCCCAACCCAGCCTGTTGCAGTGAGGGGCTTCTTTTTACCGATCGATGTGTAATCAGACAAGGGAAACTCTAATTTGGTTTTGGGAAGAGGGAAGCCAACAACACAGTCTGACCCTAATTGGGAACACAATTCTGAATTTCACTCAACAGGAACCAAAGGAAGAACTGTTTTGGGGACCGAAGTTTCCCCTTAAGGCAGCAATAGAGAGTGGTCATGATGACAAAGTCTTTACTTTCATTCTTTCATGGGTTGTGAATGTTACTGATAACTCCAGCATTTAGTGTCCATGAGAAGGTGGTGGTAAGCTACTTGAACCGCTGCAGTCTATGTGCTGTAGGTAGGCCCACAATGCCCTTAGGGAGGGAATTCAGGACTGTAACCCAGCGACAGAGAATGAATGGTGATATATATATTTTCAAGCCAGGATAGTGTGTGGCTTGGAGGGAAACTTGGAGGTAGTGGTGTTCCCATGTATCTGCTACCCTTGTCCTTCTAGGAGTATTGGTCAGGGGTTTGAAAGGTGCTGTCAGAGGAACCTTGGTGAGTTACTACAGTTGATCCTCTAAACCAAGTAGACACTACTGCTACTGAGCATTGGTGGTGGAGGGAGTAATCGTTTGTGGATGTGCTGCCAATCAAATGGGCTGCTTTGTTGTCAAGCTTCTTGAGTGTTGTTGGGGCTGCACCCATCCAGGCAAGTGGGGAGTTTTCCTGACTTGTGCCTTGCAGATGATTGTCAGGCTTTGGGGAGTCAGGAGGTGAGTTACTTGATACAAGATTCTGAGCCTCTGATCTACTCTTGTAGCTGCAGCATTCATGTGGCTGGTCCAATTCTATTTCCTATTCTAGGAACTCCTAGAATATTGATGCTGGGAGATACTTTGATGGGAATACCTTTGAACCCTAAGGTGCGATGGTTGGATTCTCTCCTTGAAATGATTATTGCTTGATGCTTGTGCGGTGCAAATGTTACTTGCCACTTTTCATCCCTAACCTGGATATTATCTAGGTCTTGGTCTTATTCAGTATCTGACGAATCACAAATGGTGCTAAATATTGTGGAATCATCAACGAACATATCCATTAACTCTCACTTCCCCTCTGGAGTTCAGCCCTACTGTCCATGTTTGAACCAGGGTAGAAGTCAGGAGCTGAGTGGCCCTGGTGGAACTTAAATGCAGCTTTTGTTGCTAAACTGTCACTGGTTGACAGCACTGTCAACGATAATTTGGATAATCAATGGCCAGCTTGGATTTGTGCTGCTTGTTAAGTACATAACAGTACTTACTTGGGCAATTTTTCACATTGTCTGGTAAATGCCAGTGTTGTAGCTGTACTGGAACAGCTTGGCTAGGGGAGCGGCAAATTCTGGAGCACAAGTCTTCAGTACTTTTCCCAAATGTGGTCAGGGCCCGTAGCGTTTGCAATATCCAATGCCTCCAACTCTTCTTTGATGTGGAGTGAATCAAATTGGTTGAAGACTGTCAATTCTGATGCTGGGAGCTCAAAAGACAAATCAATCACTCTGCACTTCCTGTTGGCGATGAATAAAAATGCTTCATCCTGGTCTTTCACACTGATTTCAGAAAGATATGAAAAAACATGGATCTATCAGATGCGCACGGGAAAGGATACTGATTGATTTGGAGGGAAATTAAACCTCAGCTGATGGCTCTCTTTGTAAATGACCTGAAAACCCTTGAAGATAGTCAAAAACACTAATTACACAATGTTTAATTCTCCAGACAGCACAGCACTGCTGTGGTGAATGGATGACTGAATAGATGTGTGAGTGAGCGAGAGATTGAGTGGGAGAGGAAGAGACAGTGAAAAATTAAATGGGGGAGGAAGGGGAGGGGAAAAAGATAAAGACGACAGGAAAGAACTACTGAGCAGATGAGAATGCAAGAGAATGGGAGATGGAACGTCGAGAGTGTGAGTGAAAAAGGGAGAGTCTTACAGGATGGAAATAGACCCTTCGGCCCAACTAGTCCTTGCCAATCAGGTTTCCTAAACTGAACCAATCCCATATCCCATCCCTGCAATAATCCTACAGTTCATCTTTGATAACGTGCTATGCTTTACACACAACGGGCAGACTGGGCAATTTAATGACTGGTACAAAAGATGACAGTTCCAATAACACTGCACTCCTGCAGCATTGCACTGAAGTGATAGCCTTGATGTCCTGTTCAGCTCGATGGCTTGGGTCTTGAATCTACAGCCTGCTGATGCCGAAGCAGAGTGCGAGCTCATGATCCACTGCCACCATAAACAACCATGCCCATTGCAAAACTCTGGAGGTTAACTTTAATGATGCAAACTAACAACCTAGTCTATTTATACCAAACGTGATTTGTGAACATGTCAAATTGGCATTGGCGTGGAGTGTGTTTATGGCGCTCGGGAATCTAGGATCCAATTTCCTGGCTCCGACGTCCTCAGATTCCAGAGACCCTGTCAAAAGGCCCATGCACTGACTCTGCCTAGAGACAGCTAGACAGCTAGACAGCTAGATCAATCTGTATCAGTACAAGAAGCTGGCTGATATTTGAGGTCTCCCAGAGTCAGGGCTGCACTAATGACGTTGATGTTCCCCAGCAACCATTCCATTTATCTACTCTGAAACCATGGTGTTTAATGGAGCAGCTTGAGATAATCCATCTGCTGAAAAAAATTCATTAACTGACACCTCACCTGTCCCTTCCAAACCGATGGTAAACAATTACATGAAATTATGACAAGAGGCAGAATATGCTCCCCCACCGACTGTTCCAAATGCCTCCTTAAGTCATTCTTGGGATCTTGCTGTGCCATGACTCCCCTTCAAAGTAATTCCTTGAAAGTGAAGCATGCTCTAAAGCGATTCATAAATGCTTGATGCATTTCCTTTGCTGAAATTAACCCTGCGGCTTGTAATCCTGTTCTTAAGCAGATATTAAAAGCATGCCTTTGTGAAGGCATTAATTAGCACAGTGTTAACAAATGTACTTTGAAAGAGAGTCTGTTCCATCTTTCCATGACTCTGACTGGAAAGAAAGCTTTCTCTAATCCCCAGCCCTGCTTGATGATAACTTTGTTTAGAAGCTGTCCAGTTCTGCATGTGGAACAAAATAATTTGCTTCAATTCACATTTTCTGCATGTTTCGAGTGTTTGAAAAATTCCAAAGAGGAAAAGCACAATTTTGTCAACAAATCAAGGCTTCAACAAAACACAAGTCACCTTGAAGTAAGTGTCATGCAAAGGACATAAATCCATTTCAATATAAACAAGTGTGAGGTGGTGCATTTTGGCTGGATGAATTTCCAAATCACAATACAGGTCAAAGGAGCAAAATGATTCTCAAATGAATGAAAGCAGCAATGGGGTTTATTCAAGTTACAAAAAGTGCAAGCAAAGCATTGGAGTATATTTCTAGAATTTAAAAGTTACATTTAAACTGCTGCAAAACCTTTGTTAAATGACGTTAAAGAATACTGAAATGGTTGTGGTCTCCCCGTGATGTAACGGGATACAGAGACGGGGGAGAAGGTGTAAAATTCATTTATAAAGACGATAGGAGAACTGACCAATTATAATTATTAGGAAAGACCAGACCTACAGGGGTTTCTCTCTTTTACCAAAAAGGGGTGAACTGATTGAGCTCTTTAAAGTTACAATGTTGTTTGGCAAGGTCAGCATAGAGAAGGTGAAGAGAAGCAATTAATGAGGTCGGCAAATTGCTTTACTATGGAATAAAAACAAATTTCTGGAAACACTCAGCAGCTCAGGATCAATGCAGAGAGTAATGTTTCGACTCAGTGACAGTGCATCAAAACTGGGTCAATGACTGTGTGTCATCAAACCACAGTGTGTCATTCTAACCACAGGCACACTGCCTGGCCTGGACAGCGTCTCCAGAATTTTTATTTTATTTCTCCTTTTGTTTCTGACCTTCAGCATCTGCTGTACTAACTCTGATATCTATGTAGCTCCTTTAAAGCAGTAAACATTCTAGCGAGTTTTGCAGGAATCTCAAAACTAAACTTGACACCAACCATATCAGACGATACTTGCGAAGAGACTCAATGGGCGGATGGCTGACTTCTGTTGTTTAGGAAGTTCTAAAAGAGCACAGAGATGTGGACAATAGAATAGAATAGAACATCCTTTATTGTAACTTGTACTCCAGTACAGAAGTACAGTGAAAGGTTTGTACAATGGCTACGTTTCAATGTTGCCATCTTAGGTACAAGTACCTAGGTACAAATCTTAGAGTAAAAAAAACCCATAGTTTTGTTATACAAAAGAGGATTAAAAGGAAAGCAGAAGCATCACTTACAGTGTCTGAGAATGAGTTAGGAATAAGGTAGTTAGAACATTGTGAAAAGGATTTAAATTACAATCGGATAAAGAATTCCAAACAGCAGCAGCTCAGCTCATGGTACCAGACTCAAGTCCAGCAACTATCCCCACATGGCTCCAGCCCCCAGTCCGCTCCTCACCGGCACTCAGCAGCAACAAGGTTAAGTCGCGCTGTACTGGGATTCGCTTCACCTCGTGCCGCTCCGACACTTGGGATTCCCATGTGCCGCTCTCGGACTTGGGATTTGCCATCTGCTGTCGCTCCGGGACTCAGCCCGGCCCACACTCGTTCTGCTGCAAGGTAGTAGGGAAAGAATTCCAGGCTGTGAGATGGTGGAATGATCGAATCGGAGATACTCAGCAGGTCAGAATTAGAGAGGTCTATACCTCAGAGGGTTGTAGGGCTGAATGAAATGACAGAAAAAGGGTCAGGTCACAGAGGAATTCAAACACAAGGATGAGAATTTTAAAATCAAGGCATTGCTTAACGGGGAATCTCTGTAGGTCATGAGTATAGGGATAGCAGATGGAACAGGACTTGGAAAAAGTTGAGGTGTGAACAGTAGAGCTTTGGTAGGCCTCAGGTTTACAGGGTGTAGAATGTGGGAGGTCCAGACAGGGGCAGAATCATAGAATTTTACAGTACATAGGGAGGCCATTCGACCCATCATGTCTGTACCAGCTCCTGAAAGAGCTAATCCCATTCTCCAGCCCTAACTCCACAGCCCTCTAAATTCATGACTTCCAAATATACATCCAGCTTGCTCTCCGATGGAATCCGCCTCCACCACTCTCCCAGGCAGCGTATTCCAGATCCCAACAACTCTCTCAGTGTCGAAGTTTCTCCTCATCTCACTCCTAGCTCTCTTGCTGACAATCTTCAAACTGTGACCCCTAGTTACTGACATACCAACCAGTGGTTATATTGGAACAGTCACATCGAGAAGTTATATGGGCATGGATTTCTGCAGCAGGTGAGTTGAGGCAGCAAGGTATTGGTGTTAGCAATGCCATAGTTATGTGTTCAGAAGCTCACCTCTGTGTCAAAAATGTGAACAGCCTGCTCAGTCTCTGATAATTGCCAAGGAGGGGGATCGGTCAGTAGCGAGGGAATCGAGTTTATGGTAGGCATCAAAGACAATAGCTTCAATCTTCCCAATCGTTAGTTGGAGGAGATTGCTGTTTGTAAAAAACAGGGGCTGAACAGCTTACTCCACTCCTCTTTCAAAAGTTCATCCTGAAACCCCATCAACAGAAGAGGGGCTCGGGAGGTTGTAGTGGGTACAGCTGGGTGCTATGTTTTCAGGGGATTTCACAAAGGGCCAGTGTGTAGATAAAGCCACGACAGCAGGATATGAATCAAAGAAAATCACAATCAAAAGGAAGGGTGTGATAGCTCTTATTTTGGCTTCAGAGAAATGAAAACAGATGTGTCCAAATTGCACTGTAATTATAAATGTGCAAGTACTAAAATAACGGTGGGAAGAGATTCCTAAAATGTACAACTTTGTAGCTAAGAGAACACAGCATGATATCAATTATTGTATCTTTGAGGAATTGAAGTGCAAGATTTCCATCGTTGCTGTATTGAAGAATGCAGACAAGCCCAAAATGCGTTGACTCAGAGACAGTTAACCACACAGGGATGGGAAGGTGTCAGCACTGAAGACATGAACTCTGAAGGAAGCACATTAACGGGAAGTGCAGTCTCTATGAGAAAGTAAATAGATTGAAGATGTTTTTCTGTCAAGAAATGGATTTTAAAGCAGACATTTGCAATTTAGTGCACAGAAGAATGTTCCCCCCATTCCCCCCAATCCAGTGTGGGAAGTAAATGGAAGCCTGCCAAACTGCTGAGTTAATGGAAAAAGTGCCAAAAGGACAAGGAATCAACAACAGCACAAAGGGAGCAGTTGGCCAATACCAATGCAAATCTATATAGTGACCAATTACATTTCTCTAAAAAGTCGCAAATTGCTCTGAATGGATCACTTTAAAATGCAGCAACATGCTAAGCAGTGACTCGGCTCTGCACAGTAATGAGATGATTGAGCAGTTAAAGTGTTTACGATGATGACTTCTGCAGTAGGTTACTTGAGGTAATCCTTTCTCGATCACTGCAACAGGCCCAGTTGGGCTCATGGTTTCAAGGGTAGCTCCTTGCTCGATGTAAGACTCACGGGGAACTGAACTGAAGGCTCATCCCTATACGGGCTGGAAAAGGTTGTTCCTGTCATCCTTTACTGGACAATACTCTCAATCATTTCAGTGCAGGTAGCTAAGGGATGGGTGGGTGCACGATTGATTGTAAATGGACAGGTAGCTGTCGGAGGTGTCAGGCACAGTATTCCACTGTATGCCTCTCCACAGACCCAAACTGAACATTATGAAGCTCCTATACTTCTACAAACTGAACTGGCAGAGGAAGTTGTGAATCAGGTTGTGTACAAGAAGCGTCAGACCTCAGTACAGCTACAACCCTGGCATCTACCCAGCAATGTGGGGAAAAAAACTGTCCAGGTATGTCTTGTGCATGGAAAGTAGGATAAATCCTACTTAAGCAAACATGCATGATAGCTCAGTGGTTAGCACTGCAGCCTCACAGCTCCAGGGACACGGGTTCGATTCCAGCCTTGGGTGACTGTGTGGATTTCCTCCGGATGCTCTGGTTTCCTCCCACAGTCCAAAGATGTGCAGGTTAGGTGGACTGGCCATGCTAAATTCCCCATAGCGTCCAGGAATGTGCAGGCTAAGGGGGTTAGCAATGGAAAATGCAGGGTTACAGGGATGGGGGTGAGATGCTCTTCAGGAGGGTCAGTGGTGGACTTGATGGGCCGAATGGCCTGTTTCCGCACTGTAGGGATTCTATGATTCTATTCTATGAAATACCACCCCATCACAATCTTCTCACGATCATCAAAGTGCTGGAATGGATCAACAACAGTGCTATCAAGTGGCACTTGCAAAAAAAAACTGACCCACTGACACTCAGTTTGGGTTCTGTTAGGTCTACCTGGCTTCTGACCTCATTACAGCCATGATCAAAACATCCAAACTCATGAAAGCAGGTGAAAGTGGCCAACCTAGGCATCAAGGCAACATTTCTCACACAGTGTGGCATCAACTTACACGCAGATGTCTCTTGGAACTTCTCGCTTGCTTTCTTTTTCCGCCACTTCCATGGTTTGAAGATTTTGCCAATGGATGCCAGCTTGCTTTTTCGCTTCAGTGGCGGCGTCCCAGATCCAGAGGGCAGTCCTTCAGAGTTTGTGATCGAGTACTTTTCCAGTCCATCAGCTGTAATAAGAAAGGGAAACACGTCAAGATTTATTCCTCCCCCATCCCTGCCATAGTCACCCAATTTTCTACTGTTATGGTCCCAGCTGATGTTCACATTGGACACGTCAGATCCCAGAGTGAAACCTGGCTTGTTAGATCTTAACTTCGATTTTTAACCATGGAGGTCAGTTATTAAACACATTTACAAGAGGCTGCTAGTGTACTTTTAGCACAAAGGATAAGTTGCTTGCTAAGCAAGAAGTAAAACATGAACTATATTATACTACACAATGGAAATTTTGGAAACATTTCATTACAGACATCAGAAAAGCATTCAAACACCCTTTTTCTGAAGAAGGGTCTAGACCCGAAACGTCAGCCTTCCTGCTCCTCTGATGCTGCTTGGCCTGCTGTGTTCATCCAGCTCTACATCTTGTTGTCTCAAACACACATCATCTGTTTTACCACAACAAGATTCTGACAAACATCCAAAACCTCAGTGAAAATTCACCAATCTCTCCACACGAAACTAAAATAAAACATAGAACAGTGGATGCTGGAAATTTGATACAAAAGCAGAAATTGCTGGAGAAATTGCAGGTCTGGCAGCATCTGTGGAGACAAAACAGAGTTAACATTTCAAGTCCCAGTGACCCTTCTTCAGAACAATTTCTGCTTTTGGAAACTAAATTCACTATTACTTTTAATTTCAGCGCAAACTTATTAACTCAGGTGTCCAGTTGCCTTGCCTCACACAGACTAATTTTGTGGACTACGCTGCCCTTTTCAGTATCTCTGGACTCCTTTCATTTGGTAACAGTACAATTAACTTTAATGCTTTGAACTATTAACTTCCTATCTCTTCAAGTCAAGGTTGCCAAACTTCATTAAAATGCACCTAAACAAAAAGGATCTCCAGACCTCCCATACCACAGCCCCAAGCTCCCAAATGAAAATGAAAAAGGAAAATGACTAGTCTTCTAAAGGTAAAGTTGCCATAGTCTCAGAGGACTGCTCTCTTATTACAGAGAGAGATGACTGGTGGTGGTTTAACCTGGTGGTGGTCACCATGCAGGACTACAGGGAAAGCAATTCCACCAAAATAAAATTCACACAATATCTGATAACTCCCCAATACTCAAGAGTATATCCAGTGGGTTACCAGAGGACACCGGATGCAAGAAAAATCAGACAGATAACAAGAAGTGGAAAATTTTTGACACTGCAAGCTGTTTAGACCACTGCATTAATAGGTCGTTCGGAGTAGACTCAATAATAGGGCAACATGGTGGCTCAGTGGTTAGCACTGCTGAGTCACAGTGCCAGGGACCTGGGTTCAAATCCACCCTCGGGTGACTGTCTGTGTAAAGTTTGCCCTGTGTCTGTGCGGGTTTCTGTTGAATGCTCTGGTTTGTTCCCACAGTCCAAAGATGTAAGGTCCTGGGGAGTGTTGCTGAACAAAGAGACCTTCGAGTGCAGGTTCATAGTTCCTTGAAAGTGGAGTCGCAGGTAGATAGGATAGTGAAAAAAATGTTTGGGTATGCTTGCCTTTATTGGTCAGTGCACTGAGTATAGGAGTTGGGAGGTGATGTTACAGCTGTACAGGACATTGGTTAGACCACTTTTCGAATGCTGCATTCAATTCTGGTCTCCCTGCTATAGGAAGGATGTTGTGAAACTTGAAAGGGTTCAAAAAAGATTTACAAGGATGTTGCCAGGGTTGGAGGGCTTGAGTTATAGGGAGAGGCTGAATAAGCTGGGGCTATTTTCCCTGGAGCCTCAGAGGCTGAGGGGGAGCCTTATAGAAGTTTATTAAATCATGAGGGATATAGATAGGGTAAACAGACAAGATCTTTTCCCTGGGGTGGGGGTGTCCAAAGCTAGATGGCATACGTTTAAGATGAGAGGGGAAAGATTTAAAAAGGACCTAAGGGGCAACATTTTCATGCAGAGGGTGGTGTGTGTATGGAATGATCTGCCAGAGGAAGTGGTGGAGGCTGGTACAATTACAGCATTTAAAAGGCATCTGGATGGGTATATGAATAGGAAGGGTTTAGAAGGATATGGGCCAGATGCTGGCAAATGGGACTGGATTAATTTAAGCTATCTGGTTGGCATGGACGGGTTTGACCGAAGGGTCTATTTCTCTGATGTATATTTGTATGACTCTAAGTGCACATTAGGTGGACTGGCCATGGTAAATTGTCCCGTATTGTCCAGGGTTAGCCACAGTTAGCATGGGGTTATGATGGGTTGGGATGCTTTTCAGAGGGTTGGTGCAGACTTGATGGGCCCAATTGCCTTTATCTGCACTGTACGGAATCTATAATAACTTCCAAAACACAACTGCATTATAGCTAAAGAGGGAGAATGCAAAGTACAGGGTTACAGACAGGAGGGATGAATTGGAGAGGCTTCTCCTATGTTGTGCCAATCGCTGCAACACTAAATTATTTCATTAGCTGGAAGACATCACAGGCTCTCTCAATGTTGGATTAGCCCAGGGGCTTCTATCCCAGCCTAACAGAATCAACACAGACATAACAGAATTAGACATAGAATCCCTACGGTGTGGAATCATTCAGCCCATCGATTCCACCCCACCTCCCCAAACAGCATCCCACCCATAGCCACCCCTCTACCCTATCCCTATAACCCTGCATTTCCCACGACCAACCCACCCAGCCTGCACATCCCTGTATGCTATGGGAGAATTTAGCACGGCCAATCCACCCTAACCTGCACATCTTTGGATTGTGGGAGGAAACCGGAGCACCCGGAGGAAACCCACGCAGACGCGGGGAGAATGTGCAAACTCCACACAGACAGACAGTTGTCTGAAGGGTGGAATCGAACCCGGCTCCCTGGTGTTGTGAGGCAGTGATGCTAACCACTGAGCCACCGTGCCACCCTCACAAAGGTTACACTTAGAGAGAAGTTAATAACTTTGTCAACCACCCCCACTCAAATAAAAATAAATAGACGTCTACACTCATACACAGCACAGCTGTGAGCAATGCCAAGTGTCAGGAATCTCAAACATTAGCTTTCAAAGTAGTGCAGCAAGATTGAAAGCAGCAGACACTCAGTGCAATTGTAATATATAACACGACAAAGTGGTTACCCATAGGAACAGGAGCAAGGATGGGGAGAGATGTGAACAAACACATGTCCCCCTGAAACAACACAAACAACCAGATGGGGGAACTGCAGGCTGGGCCAAAGAAGTGGAAGGCCAGCCATTCACTGTTGCAAGTGGAAAATTCCGGAACGGGAAGAGATCACCCAGCAGACTGAACACTGAAACAGTCATCAACGCAGAGATACAATCGACAAAACCTGCTGACCATCAGAGCCACAGGCGTGGGGTAGAGGGAATGGAGATGTGTGTGGCTTGGGCAAAATTTAAAAGTTGTACCATCATTGAGAGTGAAATCTCAACAAGCAAAGACCATTGAATTGAAACAGAATCATAAAATGTCACATCGTAGGAACTCTGTCTACTGTAACTGCATATCAAAACTTCAATGTACTTTTAGGCAGTTCATTTCAGAACACAACTCACCCGTTCAAAATAAATTATTTCCATCTCTTGACGATTTAATCATTTACCTTATGCCTCCTGCTTACTGATGCCAATCAACAGAGTTTGTCCCTATCCACCTTAACAAACCCCTGCTTAATTCTAAGCGTCGCTACTCAAATTTCCCTTCACCATCTTAGTATAAGGTGCTCAACTGGGTCCGGTACGATTTATTTTCAGTCAGAGCTGAATCTGAGAAGGATTGCTGCACTTCAGCGATGCTTTCAGGGCCTTGCATTGAGAGAGAGTGCTTTTAACCAGGGAGACATCCCCTGGTGCTACTGAACAGCATCACCGGAGAAAATTCGACACCGAGTCACATCAGGACAGGTAACCAAAAGTGTATTCAAAGACCGAGCGTTTAAGGAACAGAAAGGAGGGGATAGAGAGACATAGAGAGGGGGGGAAGAGGTTTAAAGGGGGGAATCCAAACGTGTCAATGATGGAGAGATTCAAATTGAGTTTGAGAACACAAAGATCTTGGACAGTGGTGGGGCTCAAGCGATAATGAGAGGGCTGAAGCCATGGATGGATTTGAAACAAGGCTGGGAATTTTTACACTGAGATGAAGGGCTCGGAGAGCAAAATACCATTCAGGGTAGGAGTTCATGACTTAGCCTCAGAGAGCTTGGATTTACGAACGCGAACTGAAGGCTGTCAGAGCTGATAAAGGTTCAGGATATCCTGGCTGAAAAAGAACTGATCGGGCAAGATTTTGTTTTAAATTTATTAATTTGTGGGATGTGGGTGTCGCTGGCTGAACATCCCCAGTTGCCCTTGAGAAGATGGTGGTGAGCTGCCTTCTTGAACCGCTGCAGTCCATGTGCTGTATGTTGACCCACAATGCCGTTAGGGAGGGAATTCCACGATTTTTGACCTAGCGACAGTGAAGGAATGGCAATATATCTCCAAGTGAGGATAGTGGCAGCTTGGAGGGGAACTTGCAGGTGGTTTTGTTTCCTTGTATATGCTGCCCTCATCCTTCTGGATGGAAGCGGTCATGGGTTTAGAAGGTGCTGTCTGAGGATCTTTGGTGAGATTCTGCAGTGCATCTTGTAGATAGTACACACTGCTACTACTGAGCATTGGTGGGGGAGGGAGTGGATGTTTGTGGATGCAGTGCCAATCAAGCGGGAGCTGCTTTGTCCTGGATGGGGTCAAGCTTCTTGAGTGTTGTTGGAGCTGCACCCATCCAGGCAAGTGGGGAGTATTCCATCACACTCCTGACTTGAGCCTTGTAGATGGTGGACAGGCTTTGAGGAGGCAGGAGGTGAGTTACTTGCTGCAGGATTCCTAGCCTCTGATCTGCTCTTGCAACGACTGTATTCATTTGATGAATCCAGTTGAATTTTTGGTCAATGGTAATGTTGAGGATGAATCTCGACAACAGTGAGAAGGTAGGGCTGGGGAAAGTGTTGAGTTGAGCGGATGAGGA